TAAATACTGGAAAAATGAAGCTTTGCCCACTATTGAGGAATGGACTTTGAAGATGGCCAGTTTTGCAGAGATGGCGAAGATTTCAGCATACTTAAAAGATTGTTCACAAGAGACTTATGAATGGGAATGGAAAAGATGGATAGAATATGTTCAGAACAAATATCAAACTAGAAAGTATCAAATAGCCTTTACTTGAAAATAATGTTTTAGAAATACTTTAATGTAATGAGGTAAAAAGAAAAATCATACAGGGGAGGGAGGGGTTCAAGTTTATACATAAGTGTCATATTAAGGGTTTTTTTTTTACGAGTTATGCGTATATTATAGGGAAGTCTGGGGGGAGGGGAGGGTTAGGGAGGGTTAGGGAGGTTGGGAAGTTTGGGGGGGTGGGGGGGAAAAAGGGGTGAAAATGTAATTGTAAAACTTTTGCAATAAAAAAAAAAGTCTATGCACATAGCCACGCCCACCCGGTCACATGACGAGCTACCCACGTCTACACAGTCACGTGACCAGCTAGCCACACCCACCCAGTCACATGATTGCCAAGCCACACCTCCAACTAAGCCACGCCCACAGAACCTGTTGTTAAAAAATTGAATCCCACCACTGGTGAAAGGGCCTCATAAGTGGAATAGCCTAGGGCCTCTTTCAATCTAAATCCGGCCCTGCTTAGACTACAGAGTAAGTTCTCATTCCTATTTGGGAGATTTCCTCCAAGCCTGCAGGCCCTATGCTCTGTCAAAGTCAGTGCTTTATGACTAAGTGACTAACCTAACCTAACCTAAGTGACTAAATTGAGTGTTTCTCAATTTTGGCAGGCATAAAATGGGTAGATGTCAATTCGCAGAATTCATTCATTTTAAAGGTACCAAAGTTGAGAAACATGGACTAAATTCTGACTCTTCAAGCAAGCTTGATGCCTCCATATTGTTAACCACTGAGCAAGAAAAGCTTCAGCTGTGCGTGCTCAGTGGAGAGAGGATTTAAATTCCACAGGATCCCCCTCTGCTGTTGGAAAGATATATGCTTTCTTACTTTATGTCCCTGACTCCTACATTCTTTTTTTTCCCCTTCTTTTTTAAGTTTTTTCTTTTTTACAAACATATCAAATCAATGGGTGAACAGTGTGGCACCTGGGTGTCATACATTCTAATACAAATAAAACTAGTAAAATTAATCCTAATTATTATATCCAATCAATTTACAGTATATATTTCTAATAATGATACACAATTATAATAAATTGCAATCTGTCATTATTCAATTATTCCATGTTTTCTCTTGTTACTTTTGTTTTATTATATAGAAGTGTATACACTAACTTTCCCCACTTATTTCTATCACTTATTCTAACTTTTAATCATATCACCTTTTACTAAAAAAACATTTTCTTTCTATCCTACCTAACTTCTAGTCATGTCACCTACCTAAAAAAAAGAAAATAAAGAGAGAGAAAAGGAAAAGGAAATCAAAACAACAACAGAAAAGAAAAATCATTAAAAGTGATACTGCCATTCAAGTGAAGGAAGGGGGGACTTGGATTCGATTTACTAGCATGGCCTGTGTCATCAGATATTTTACAACCTATATCCTGGCGCCAAGGAAGCCTGAGATTCCCTTTACCTGCAGGAATTTATATGATAGCCATGTGGGTTGTCTCACTTTAAAGGGAAGTGGTGGGAATGCATGTTTGTTCGGGTTCTCAAAGGAAATAGTAAAGAAAACATCTTCACACTTGTGTATTGGCTGAAATCTGCATTCTGACCTAAAGGGAGGGGTCTCTACCACTTTAATCCTACTGCTTTGCCTAAGGGCATTCAGATTGTGCTTTAGCTGGATGGTTTTCACTTCTGCTTAATAAAAGAATCCTTTTGAACAACTACGTTTCAAGAGTTCGTACTTTCTTAAGTTGGAAGGAGAGGCGATCCTTACACATTGTCTCTTGCTCACTTCAATACTTTAATTGCTATGCTCTTTTAAAAACTTGCCTCCAAAATTCCTCTCTTGGATCTTTATCTCTGTCAGAATCTGCTTCTTGGCTATTCAATCTAGGTCTATGATGGCAAATTTATGGCATGCGTGCTGGAAGTGGCATGCAGAGCCATGTCGCCTGGCATGTGTGGTGTTGCCCATTCCTCTTCCGGGTTTTCAGCGCATGAAGCTGACCTGCCCAGGATCCATGTGGGCTGCTGCAGGGGGAAGCCAGGCATGGCTGTCTGGACATTGCCCAGAGCATGAGGCTGGCAGAAGGAGGAGCCGCCGCTGCCTCTTAGGTGGCGTGAATGGCCTGCCACCACCCTCTGCCCTGCCAGCTGCTCCTGCCACTGCCAGGGGTGAGGGGTGGTGAAAGCAAGGACATGTGGACCGGGGCTTCCCTCCCTCCCTGGCGGAGGCTTGGGCTGTGGAAGAAGCCAGCTCAGGCAGGGAGGGAGAGAAGCGTGCCCCCTCACCCTGGCGATTCTCACACTGCTGCTTCCCCAGTGGCAGCAGGTGCAGTGGTCTGAGGCTTCCATCCCTCCCCAGCAGAGGCTTGGGGCCACTGAAGAAGCCCACTCAGGTGGGGAGAGAGGGAAGCATACCCCCTTGCCCACCAATTCTTGCACTGCTGCTTCCCTGGCGGTGGCAGGAGCAGTGGGCTGAGGCTTCCCTCCCTCCCCAGGGAGGCTTGGGGCTGCGGAAGAAGCCACTTGGGTGGGGAGGGAGGGAAGCATGCCCCTTGCCCCAGTGATTCTCGCACTGCTGCTTGCCCAGTGGCAGCAGGAGCAACGGGCTGAGGCTTCCCCCCCTCCCTGGCACAGGCTTGGGGCCGGCATAGTTTGGTGCAGGAGGCTTTCCAGGCCCAAAACAGGGTGCAGGGGTGGGCGCATGTGCTGGGGGCACATGTGCAGGGATGCACGCATGTGCAGGGGAGCATGGGGGTCATGTGCACATGCTCAGGTGGGTGCACATTGCATTATGGGTGCCGGCACACATGTGCTGTCGCATGCACGCACACGTGCTTTTGGCATGCAAGGACAAAAAGATTCGCCAACACTGATGTAGGTATTTCTCCCACTCCTACCCTCTTCCACTGCCTAGTTCCCCAAATTTCTGCCCAGGCCCCTATCTCCCTTTCAAATGTATCTTCCAACTCTTTTAATACATTTCCCCCCTGGTTTAATTCATCAATCACTGTTATTTCCATTGTTGTCTTCTCTTTGTCTTCTTCTTTCTTTATTTCTTCTACTAACTCCTTCCTTTCCTGGGCGTCTTGTTCTTTATTCATCATCCCTCATATGGTATTTAACATTTTTTCCCTAATCTCCTTAAATCCTTTCTCCATGGCGTTTTTTGTGTTTTGAAAGAGTAATGCCATCTCCTTCAAAATTCCACCCATTTCTGCCTCATAAAACATCTTGTTTTATGTTTTAAAAATTCAACTTTTGTCCAACAATCCAAGAACTATTTATTCAGTCCTTCAATTGCCCTTCAGGGAGTAAACTAGTAGTCCCAGTTCTTTTTATCCCATAGATAAACAGTCAGTTCCATTTAGATAATCCCAAAAGTTATCCAAAGCCTCTTTACATCCCCTTTACAGGTTCAATCTTCTAGCATAACATTCAGGGGTCCCTTAGTTAAGAAAACTTCCTTATTTTCATATTTGGGCCTCCAGTAGTCATAGGGTAGTTAAAAGTAATCCAATAGATACTTTAACTGTCCTTCATGTAGATATTCCCAGGCTTGTAATTTTTCCTTTTGTCAGCAGGTGGCACTCTCATCTTAATTTTCAGTATTGCCACTAATCAAGCATTCTTTTAGTCATAGAACAATTATAAAAGCAGAATAAGTTTTATAAGTAAATGATTCCAGCATTTTAAATTGCCTTCCCAGTACCACGTCTTCTCAATTTAAGAGTCCAATTTTCTGTATATTTCAAAATTTATTATTTTTCTATCGTACGTCCCTCATTTCCGATCTGGTAGTTTCTCAGAATGCTTAGACACCACTTTTACAGATAATTCTGAGAAAATAGTTCTAAATTGTTCCTTGGGGTTGAATTTAAAGCAAAAGGAAATCCTCTCCCCCAGTTCCAGTCACTGTGCACCTACTTCACTCCAGCACCAGTCTTAGATGTTCATTGGTTATCCCAGCTTTGTGGTAGCCATCTTTAGCTGCATTTTCTTCTTGCCATGGCTGAGAGGGAAAAGAAACCTAGGGTCAGACAGGAAAGCTGCAACTCTCCACAACCTCACAGGGTGCCCCTCTTTGCTTCATCACCCCTACAGGGTGGCTTTGGCTCCCTTGGAGCCCACAAACAGGGAGAAGTCAGCACAGTGAATGTGTGTCTGAGACCGCTGTGATGTCAACTGGACTTTTCCCTTACTCCTACATTTTTGACCAAGTCTCTGACTTTTTCCTTTGAGTTCTCATGACATTGTGTATTTTTGTATTATTATATTTGATATGGCTTTACTCTTCCTCAGCCACCTGTCATGCACATATCTGCTTTTTTCTCCTAAGTCCACTCCTGTTTTTATGCCGCATCTGCTCACTCTGCTTGCACCTTTCCTCAGTGTGTGATTGTTCCCTAGGACTTCCATATGCTGCATTTATAACATGGCTGCCTGCTGCACAGAATTTCCATACACACATCCTCCCACCATTGAGGCCAAGACACAACATATTCTCTTTTGCTTCCCCCATGAATGAGGAACCATAATAGCTACTCCAGTATGACCCAAAGCAATATAGATAGTACAGAACTGCTGCTCCAAAGCTACCCCACAGACTCTAGAAGAGAATAGCTTTTACCAAGACTAGGACTTTTTATACTCTGAGAAATGCTCTGTAGCATTTATTTTGCTGTATGCTATGTCAACTAGTACGTTTCCATTACAGTAATTTTTTTTCAGTTGAAATGGACTCGGACTGAAACTCAAAATGCTTTAAAAAAGGAGAGGAGGCAATTGTTTTCAACTTCTCTTAGTACTAGTACTGGAAAAAAATCTATCTGATTTCCATTGTGCAATTTTCATGAGCGAGGCTTTTGTTTATTCCTACCAAAGTCTTTGTTCAGAAACAAACTTTTTATAGCCAATCACATAAAAAGGACGAGGTTTTCTTGCTTGTCCTCTATTCTGTTACTTCTATATTTTCTTAGAAATATTTCATTGTTGGAAGACACATCCACACCCCAACACATTAGAAATTCTCTTTCTCTGATACATAATCCTCTCTTTTGATCATCCTATCCCCTACCTCAAGGCTGTATTTTTATTCATAATGAAATAAAATGAAAACTCTCCCTTTAAATGAGTTAAAACTGCAACTAACAAATTTTGTAATAAAACAAAGGGACTAAAATGTTGGTGCATCTGCATTAGGTATTGACACTTGGAAGACCTCCAAAGCAATTAGTTAAATCATTCTGTACTCTTCATCCTCTGGTTCATCATATAGTCTCACTACAGGATGGTAATACATCACTGTGCCAAACCCAACCAGCCATGCCACTAGAGTTCCTCCAAAGAAAACACAGAAGGTTAATAGACAGATGTATATGAAATCTTCTAGTTGTAAGTGCAGAAGGCACAGGTAACGGAGCTCCAATTTTGCCTTGATGAGAGAAAGACCCTGCATTTTTTCTGGTTTATTGCAAGTGGTATTCTCAAAATCTGCAAAAAGGAAACATAAAATGAGAACTAGTATGAATTTTAAACAGTTACTGGTAACTCTACAGCTGCCCAGCCTGCTGCTCCTGCCACTGCAAGGGGGCGGTGGCAGTTCTCATGCTGCCACTTCCAGCTGGGATGCTGGAGGAGGAAAAGGAGAAGGAACTGCAGTCGGGGAGGCAAGCTGCCCCAGGAGGGCTGGAGGAGAGCGCAGCATGGAGATGCCACCAAGGGGTAAGAGCAGTGGTGGGATTCAGCCAGTTCGCACTACTTTGGGAGAACCGGTTGTCAACTTTCTGAACAGTTTGGTGAACTGGTTGTTGGAAGAAATCATTAGGGCAGAGAACCGGTTGTTAAATTATTTGAATCCCACCACTGGGTAAGAGGTGCACTGGCAGGAAGCAACTAGGGGGGGGGACTGCGCTAGCTTGTTCTCAGTGGTGGGCTGGGGGGGGGCGCTTCATCCCGGCCAGAGTTGGGGTGAAGCTCTCCCATCTTCTGCCCCCCTAACCCGAGCCCCAGGAATGCTGACACCCCTTACCTCCAAAGCCAGGAAGGGGCTCCAGCTTGCCAGCAGAGGGAGGTGGCATTCCCTACCTAACTTTCTCTCCCTGTCCAGAGCTGTGGAACCGGGTCATTGGTGGGGATGCCTGCCACCCCGACAGGGGGAAGGGGGGGCAGCAGGGGGACGGGCAGGGAGGCACAAGGACCCCTGAAAGGCCAGGTGGAGCTGGTGCATGTGCAGCGGGCAGTTAGTCTTTGCACACGTGGGCCAGAAACCAGAAGAGCAGGTGATTGGCACACATATATGTGCCAGAAACTGGAGGTTCATCTGCTTTTCTGGTTTCCAGTGTGCATACACTTGCTCCCACTTCAGCACTCGGTGCCAAAAAGGTTTGCACGTGCTCCCGTTTTGGCACTCGGTGCCAAAAAGGTTAGCCGTCACTGGTATAGGCATTATTTGATATCACTGTGGACCCACAATGCTAAATTTCAACTGAGTTCAGGGATGGTATTGATGTTCTGACTCTGCAGTTATTTTGAATTGATTATTTCCCTCCAACTGAAGGATTGTGGCAAATTAATAGTAAATGTAGGGAAATATATTTCAATTAGCAATGTTTATTCTTGCTGTTGATTTTTCTTCAGCTGCTATATATGTCATTTATGATTTTGTAATTTTGCTTTTTATCTCATTTTTAATAAATTGCTAGCAACCTGTAATTGAAATGGCTGGCCATACAAATGGAATGTGCTGTACACATTACAGTTGATGACTAATCTGAGGATTTGTGAAAGTTGTCTAAGGCAGAAATACAGGGGGACTCATTGGAGTGTAATTAGGTCTGTGGAGTTGACTGCTAATTGAAGAATCCACATTCCTAATTAACTCAGGGAATAAAAGAGGTATTCAACATGAAGTCCAATCTCACCTGGGGATTTAATATCAGTATTTGTTAGCCAGTTGGAGAACATCAGGAATTTGCAGTCACAATTCCAGGGGTTATCCTTTATTCCCAAAATACGAAGTCTGTACAGTTTTTGGAACATTTCAGCACTGAGGTAAGACAAGCCACAATTACTCAAATCTATATATCTCAGAAGACTGTTCTTTTCAAAGGCTTGCGCCATAATCTCCACCATCAATGGATTGCCAGAGAGATTTAAGAGCAGCAGCTCACTCAGTTGTGAAAAAGTGAAGGATGTTATGTGGGAGAGCCTGTTGAAACTGAGATCCAAATATGTCAGTTTGATTAACCCTGGAAAGCTGAAATCCAAGTCCATTGTTATCAGATTGTGGCTGCAATCAAGGTGGACCAGTTCATTGAGATAACTCATGGTTAATAGTGGTAAATTGGTGAGATTGTTCTGTGCCAGAATTAGTTTTTTAGTAGTCAGAGGAATTGTGGTTGGAAAGTTTTGCAATTTTTTTCCTGTGCAGTTCACTTGCAACTTATTACAAGTACATTCTGTGGGGCAACTCAGGGCCTCTTCTATCCATTTCATTCCAAGTGCAAGAATTGTCCACAAAAGTGGGGAACTATGACAAGAGATCGGAATGAAATACCCCATCTTGTAGTTTTCTCTCCTTTAGCTTCATCAGAAGGGGACTTGCCTTTTTGAAATTTCAGATGCAGAGGAGAATATTAGTTTACCAGTTCCTGCTAGAAGAGCTCCAAGTCATCTTAGTTGTTACTGTCACCTTTATGACATCACCTCTTTAGCCCATACTCTGGAATCATGATGGTGATGTACAAGCAGACCTGCCTATGTCAACTGTCTTAATAAATATTCATTTTTTTTATCATTTATGCATATTCCAGTCTTTCATATTTTTGTAACAATAATTATATTATTGTTACAATTATATATATAATTATCAATAATTATATTATTACAAAGCATAATAATATTTACACAATTTCATTGCTTAACATGTAAAATATATACACTGCACGATGGTTTATTCATATATATGCATTTACATATATGACCAAGATTCATATAGAAAAACAAAAGATAGATAAGGTAAACTTTATTGTTATTTTTTAATGTGGGCACGCTGGCACACATTAAAAATGAATTTGTTGCCTGCTCTCAAAAGAAAGTAAATGCCCATACACATACATAACACACATATACACATGCTATAAACATACATATATATATATATATATATATATATATATATATATATATATATATATATATGTGTGTGTGTGTGTGTGTGTGTGTGTGTGTGTGTGTGTGTGTGTGTAGTTAATATTTCGGGTTTCTTCCCGTGTAATTGTGGATATATCCCTAAAAGGGTAGAAGCGACATCTACCCTAAAAGGGTAGAAGCGAATCCCATCTGCCATCATCAGGCTTATGCCAGTAGTCATTTTGCACTAACTGACGTTGGAATTTCAAATCTGGTGCTGGTATTCTGGGATGGCTCCACCTTTTCATTCTGATTGGTTGGGAGTCCCAGTATGTGTTTATTGGCTTGGCTTCGGGTGTATGGTCGGTTTTTCTCCACTAGGTGGCAGGGCTTAATCTTTGTGGCTGGTTTGAATATGATTTGGTTGGGATTTTTTTGTGCAATGTTTGGTCCATGTTCCACATATGGTGTCAAGATTCGTCTATCTATGAGAGCAGGTTTCCAAATAGTAGGCAGACGTGAAGTGTCATCCCGTTTATTCATGCAATATGGTCTTTTTTCCATTTCTATTGCTTCTCTGATTATCCTGCCATTGAGATGTTCTATTTTTGCAACTGTTTTTGTTTTATTAAAATTAATGTTGTGTCCTGTTGTATTTATATGTTGAACTAATGATGATGTGTGTTCTTGCTTTTGTATTGAGTTTTTGTGTTCCTCGATGCGCACACTCATTCTTCTGTTGGTCTGTCCAATGTATGTTGATGGGCAGGAAGCACATGGGATTTCATATATGCCTTGAACTTCTAATTCTATTTTGTCTTTGGGGTTTCTCAGAATGGACGATATCTTTCTATCTGTGCAAAATATGGTTTTGATGTTGTGTTTTTGTAGTACTTTGCTAATTTTATCTGTTGTTCCCCTTATATAGGGCAAGATGGCTTTCCCATTGTTTTGTTCCTCTTGTTGTTTTTTATTCTGTCTTGGTGTTGTATGTTTGATCATATTGATGACTTTATTTCTACAGAACCCATTTGATGTCAGTACATTAGTTAGTGTATATAATTCAGTTTGTAAATGTGCTTCATCAGCCAGACGTTTAGTTCTTGTGGTTAATGTTTTGGCAACAGAGTTTATTTGTGCTGGATGGTGGTGTGATTTGGTGTGATTTACAGACATTCAAAGAAACTTAAGAAATTAGAACATAAAAAACCTCCAACCACAACACAACATCACTTAAAACAAGTAGTATACAATGCTTCCGATAGAAAATTAACAACAGCAGAAACAAATGTCTTAGCAAAGGGCTTTAATTTTGCAGTGGCACCCAATAAAATTCCAATAGAAACCATCATATGCGAAGTTGAAACCAGCCTAAAGAAACTCAGTGCTGACGATGCTGATAAAGTCAGACATGACGTCACCAACATTCTATGTACTAGTAAACCACCTAAAAGCAACTTATCAAAAGAAGAACAAAAAGCACTGCAAGTTTTAAAAAATGATAATAGCATAATGATATTACCAGCAGATAAAGGCAATGCAACAGTAGTAATGAACACAGTGGACTATGAAAAGAAACTGTCTGACTTACTTCAAGACGCCACATATAAACCCATAAACACAGACCCAACAACATATCTAGAAAAAACCACGAAGATAAAGATAAAATCAAGTACTATAAGTAAAGAAATCCAACAAAAAATTATCCCCAGAGAAAAATCATCAAAATGCCCAAAACTGTATGGCCTCCCAAAAATACACAAAGATGGAATACCTCTCAGACCCATAGTAAGTTCCATAGGCTCACCTTTACAAAATCTAGCCAGATATTTAGCAAAACATCTTCAACCTTACGCAGAATCTGCTGCTTCATATGTACAGAACTCATACCATTTCATACAAATAAAAAAAAGCAACACATAAAAGAAAGTGACCTTCTTGTAAGCTTTGATGTTGTATCACTATTCACACAAATACCTGTCAAAGAAGCCTTGTCATCAATTAAAAACAAATATCAACTACCAAAACATATCACAAACTTAACAGAACATTGTTTATCCAACACATATTTCATACACAGAGGACAGAGATATAAACAAGTAGAAGGTGCACCAATGGGATCACCATTATCACCAGTCATCGCTAATCTTTTCATGGAAGAATTCGAATCCAATGCCTTAGAAAAAACTGTTAACAAACCAAAATTATGGCTCAGATACATTGATGACACCTTTGTGATCTGGCCACATGGAAGAGATAAATTGGAAAACTTCTTAGTACATTTGAACAGCCTCCATCCCAAAATAAAGTTCACCATGGAGATAGAATCAGAAAACCAGTTACCTTTCCTCGATGTATTAATTTATAAAAAATCTGATGGCACCTTAGGACATACCATCTATCAAAAGAAGACACATACGAACCGCTATCTCAGCGCCAAATCATACCACCATCCAGCACAAATAAACTCTGTTGCCAAAACATTAACCACAAGAACTAAACGTCTGGCTGATGAAGCACATTTACAAACTGAATTATATACACTAACTAATGTACTGACATCAAATGGGTTCTGTAGAAATAAAGTCATCAATATGATCAAACATACAACACCAAGACAGAATAAAAAACAACAAGAGGAACAAAACAATGGGAAAGCCATCTTGCCCTATATAAGGGGAACAACAGATAAAATTAGCAAAGTACTACAAAAACACAACATCAAAACCATATTTTGCACAGATAGAAAGATATCGTCCATTCTGAGAAACCCCAAAGACAAAATAGAATTAGAAGATCAAGGCATATATGAAATCCCATGTGCTTCCTGCCCATCAACATACATTGGACAGACCAACAGAAGAATGAGTGTGCGCATCGAGGAACACAAAAACTCAATACAAAAGCAAGAACACACATCATCATTAGTTCAACATATAAATACAACAGGACACAACATTAGTTTTAATAAAACAAAAACAGTTGCAAAAATAGAACATCTCAATGGCAGGATAATCAGAGAAGCAATAGAAATGGAAAAAAGACCATATTGCATGAATAAACGGGATGACACTTCACGTCTGCCTACTATTTGGAAACCTGCTCTCATAGATAGACGAATCTTGACACCATATGTGGAACATGGACCAAACATTGCACAAAAAAATCCCAACCAAATCATATTCAAACCAGCCACAAAGATTAAGCCCTGCCACCTAGTGGAGAAAAATCGACCATACACCCGAAGCCAAGCCAATAAACACATACTGGGACTCCCAACCAATCAGAATGAAAAGGTGGAGCCATCCCAGAATACCAGCACCAGATTTGAAATTCCAACGTCAGTTAGTGCAAAATGACTACTGGCATAAGCCTGATGATGGCAGATGGGATTCTGCCGAAACGTCGCTTCTACCCTTTTAGGGATATATCCACAATTACACGGGAAGAAACCCGAAATATTAACTATACACACATACATACCCGTGAAAACTTACATAAACAATATATATATATATATTACTTTTCGTAGGTTTTGTGTGTGTTTTTCTTTTAGCCAGGTTTCTCCTACGTAACCAAGATTTTTCTACAGCCCTAGCTCAGTGGAGTCACATCCACTCGATTCTGAGCTTTTTTCTTTCTGGCAGCCAGCAGGCCCTATGCTGCCCTATGCTGCTTAGTGAGAGACTTATATAGATCTATTTCTGGCTCGTTAGCCATCATCAGTAAGCCACACCCACATCTCATGTATCCTCCCTGTAAAGGTACAATATCTATTTTACTTTTCGTAGGTTTTGTGTGTGTTTTTCTATATATATATATATATATAAAAATATGTATATGTATGTGTATGTGTGTATGTGTATGTATGTATGTATACACTCTTTCTCTCCCTCCCTCTCTCTCTCTCTCTCAAAAACTTTGGCCATCTAATGAGAAGGAAGGACTCACTGGAGAAGAGCCTAATGCTGGGAAAGATTGAGGGCAAAAGAAGAAGGGGACAACAGAGAATGAGGTGGCTGGATGGAGTCACTGAAGTATTAGGTGTGAGCTTAAATGAACTTCGGGGGATGGTATAGGACAGGAAGGCCTGGAGGAACGTTGTCCATGGGGTCATGATGGATCGGACACAACTTCGCAACTAACAACAACAAATACACACACACAAACACACATGTACATGTGTGTGTGTGTGTGTGTGTGTGAGTGATCAATATGTATTGATCACTGTCCATTTTGAATACATAGTGGAAAGAGGAAGCTTGAGAGTTCACAAGGTTGATGCTATATGGAACAAAACTGAGACTGAATCTAGATGTTCTGGTTCGGATACCATGAAGATGTAGCTGAGCCAGAACAATTCTAGGTCTAGATGGAATCAGCAATAACTCCTACTTAAATATACCTGTTTGTTTTCCTCCAGTTCAATGTACATCACTCCAGGTGTCGTAGTTATAGCAATAAGTGAATTTTTGCAACAAATTTAATATAATATTGTAATACTAATTGTTCCATTTTTCACTATTTTGACTGAAATTATAACTAAAGA